AGCAGAGGCTGAGTGCTGGCTACCCTCAGGATACTCAGGGCTTCTCAAACTTATATTTGCATACAAATCACCTGGGAATCTTGTTTAAATGCAGGTTCTGATTCAGCAAGTCTGGGTGGGACCTGAGATTCTTCATTTCTCATGAGCTTGCTGACAGTGCTGATGCTCCCAATCAACAGATCTCATCCTTAGTAGCAAGGCTCTGTTGCAGTTTGAAGAGAAATCACAGTGAGACAGAGGGATATGGTTAGGGAAAGCCAGAGAGTTACCCAGACAAGACTCCATAAAGTAGGAGCACTCTGATGCAGTCATGATCTACAGTCTGGTTCTTAGCTTTGTAAGCTTTGAAATTTGATTGGTAGTATTAGCAGAGCCTGGGCTCCTGAGGACTGACTCACAATTAAACAAATTCACGAGACCAGTATATAAGCCAAAATGCCAACTGATTAATTTATTATGAGAAGTATAACTTCCAGTGGAACAGATACTAGTGTTTGCTGATCAGAGAATTACCTCCCTGTAGGCATATTTACAGGAGGAGCTAAATGATGAAAAGAAGGTTGCTTGGTGAGGAGGAACTCATAGCAAGGGGAGTTCATAGGATGATTTTAATGGTTCATGTCATCAAGCTATGATAGTCTGATACCTTCATCTCCACTACTTGTCTAGACCTCCAGATAGTGCTGAGGGTGTTAGCCTCCGTATCAGTCTCTCTGCCTCCTGTCTTGCCCTCATACAATCCAGATGATCTATGTAAGCCTAGGTCGATACTATCATTTGTTTGATCCACTGATTTCAATATAAATTCACAACCTAAACTCATCATTACAAAAAGTTTAAAATATAGAGAAAAGTTGAAAAATATTACAGCGAGCACCTATATACCCACCATCTAGATTCAACAATTGTTATCATTTTGCCATATTTACTTTATGTATCTGTGTGTGCACATGTGCATTGAGCCCACACTCTTTAACATAGATTTCTAAACTCTTCATGTTCTGGCATAACCCACTTGACCTGCTTCACTCCCCTTGGCTCCCCCTTTGCTCCCCCAGACATGCCTAACTATTGAATGTTAGTTCCCTGAATGTTCGCTGGTGTTCTCATGTATTGCCTATTGCCTATGCCTGAATATCCTTACTTTCTTTTTTCTTGATTATCTCTATTTGTTTGTAAAGAGAGCCACGCCCATGTTGCCATAGCACCCTATACTCTTCTCAGTGATAACATGTATTACACTGCACTGTTATTGTGTGTTTGCCTCTTTGACTTTCCTACTAAACTATGAACTCCTTGAGGGCAGGGACTGTTTCATTTGTCTCTGTATACCTGCACCTCTCAAGTGTCTTGCGCTTAGTAAGTGTTCAGTAATCAGAAAATCCAACTACCTGCTGGACAGTTCTACCTAGTTACATCATGGGTACCTTGAATTCAACTTGTCTAAACTGAACTCATTTCTCCTCGTACCCACTCTACACATTTAAAACCCTCCTCCTAATTAAATGCCATTCAGTCTTCCAAGCCAAAAGCTTCAGAGCAATCCCTAACTCTTCCCTCTCATTCATCCTCCAAACAAGTCCTGTTGATTCTATATCCAAAATACATTACCAATCTGTCCATTTCTCTTTATCTCCACTACCAATTTAGTCCAAGCCACCTTCATTTCTCACCTGGAGCACTGCCAACAATCCTGTATCTGGGCTCCCTGCTTCTACTCTTGTCTCCTCCAAATTTTATTCACAGAGAAGCATAATGATCACTAAAATTCAGATCTGATTTTATTACTCCCTGCTTAAACCCTGATTATATTACTCCTTGCTTTTGGATTAAGTCCAAACTCCTTAGCTTTACCCAAAGGACTCTCAAGAACTGACCCCTTTGTCCCTCTATAACTTTATCTCTTGTACTCTTGGTTCCAAACACTTGGTGTTTATAGAGCCTGTAGTATTTGTTGTTTCTCAACATTTTCAGTTTCATGCCTCAGTGCCTTTTCTTGTATTGTTCTCTGTATAGAAAGGCTAACACTCTCAAAGTCAGCACAGGTGTAACCTCCTCTGGGAAGCTTTTTCTTACTTACCAGCGTGGGTTAGTTCCTCTTCTTTAACACCCACTACTGCCCTATGCATACCTCTAGTGTAGCTCTTATACTATATACATCAGCACTCTCTCTATATATATATTACAATTATCAGCTTGTTTGTCTCATCAAAGGTAATTTATGAGCTTTTTGAGAGCAGAGTTAATGTCTTATTTTGTTTTAACCCAATGCTTAGCCCATGACTGGCATATAGTAGATTGCAATAAATATTTAAGAAAGAATGAATATTAACAAATGTCTCTCCAAACTTCGTTTTTGTAAATACCTTATAAAAGATCTCTTTTCTTTTAAACACATTGTTTCTTCAAAGTACAACATAGTTGACTGTCATGCAGGTTTTATATGTATATATTTTCTGCCGCACAGCGTGGCATGTGGGATCTTAGTTCCCTGACCAGTGATCAAACCCACACACTCTGCATTGGAAGTGCGGAGTCTTAACCACTGGACCACCAGGGAAGTCCCAATCATGCAGGTAATATTGATTGAATATTGAGTGTTCTTCACCAGCAATTTCAGACAGTTTCTGGAACTGTACCATTTATTTTTTATATATAAATTTATTTATTTTTGGCTACGTTGGGTCTTCGTTGCCGTGTGCGGGCTTTCTCTAGTTGCAGTGAGCAGGGGCTACTCTTTGTTGCAGTGCACGGGCTTCTCATTGCTGTGGCTTCTCTTGTTGCGGAGCACGGCTCTAGGCACGTGGGCTTCAGTAGTTGTGGCACGTGGGCTCAGTAGTTGTGGCTCGTGGGCTCTAGAGCGCAGGCTCAGTAGTTGTTGTGCACGGGCTTAGTTGCTCTGCAGCATGTGGGATCTTCCTGGACCAGGGCTCGAACCCGTGTCCCCTGCATTGGCAGGCGGATTCTTAACCACTTCGCCACCAGGGAAGTCCCGTACCATTTCTTTAGATGACAGATGCTACCCTTTTATTTTCCCTTAGGTAATTTTTATCTAACAGATTAACATCATCTGTAGTTGGGGGTGCCATGCTATTGGTCCCATATACCTCCCTTGACCTCTAAAGTCCCTTTCAACACCTATGATTCATGCTTCACAAAATTGCCCATTTATTTGGATTCTAGGTGCTGTTTGGTTATGGTGTTAATTTTCCTCTAGGTTTCTCTCAAGCCATAAGAGCATCACGTGCAGGATTGTCCCATGCTTAATCTTAGCAAATAATATTGATTAAATAAATGTTGGGCCAGGGGAGTGGAATGATTGATTAGGAATTTAACAAATGTTGGGCTGGATAAAGTAAATTATATTTATTTGAACTAAAATAAATGGCTTAAAGTAAACACCCTGAACATTACTTTCTCTGATTATTACCTCAAAGTAACAACCTTAATATTATTTTAAAAGTATTGGGTCCCTGAATCTGTTTAATAATAATAGTATTTAACAGATATAATTTTTACATTCTGCTAAGCACTGTTCTAAGTGCTTTATATGTATGAACTCATTTAATCATCTGGACTACTCTATGAGGTAGGTACTATTATTATCCCCATTTTACAGATGATGAGGAAACTGTGGCACAGAGAAGTAATTTCCCCAAGGCCAAAAGTTATCCATAACTGTCAGACACCAGAAGTATTACTTCAGTTTAATCTATGCATATTTATTGAGCACCTACTAAATGTAATAACTGACAGGGTAGATAAAAATTGTACACTTAAAATAAGAAATCTTAACGCAATAGTGCTGTGAGTGAATTGTCAAGGTGAGTCAGGCTCTTTTTTAGTTAGTGGGAGATGGAGAAAGATTGTTAAGGTCATGAATGGCGCAGACATATCTGTTTGGTAAGTCTGGTTTGCGGAAAATGGAAGAAAAGAGGCTTAGTTTTGAGGAGTATGAAAATGGTCATTCCTTTTTGAGGGCTAAGATTACTTTTAGAAGGGGCATCTGATGCAGTATATTTAGTATGAGGTAAGGGTAAGAAGGAAATACAAAAGTATGACGCTTGTTTAGAGAAGGAAAGGAAAAAGTTTTTTTTAAAAAAAGGCAATGCTCTCTTCCGCCCCCCCCCCCAGCTTAGAGAATTAGTAAATAGCCTGCTTAAGCACCACCCACCTACCCAAATTCTGCGGACTGCAAGTCAGACCTTTCAGATCTGCGCTTTTTAGAAGTACTTTCGCATTCTGGCACCTTAAGCCAGAAATGCCCCGCAGGCAAACGTTACGAGGGAAAAATATATTCTTGCAATTCAAAAGGGACTCGAATCCTACCAACGAGCGTTTCTGTTCTCTGTTTCCATAGTTCCTCGCCTGTCCATTTTTCATACAACGACTTGACACACCTGACCACACAGCCTCTGATCCTATTCTAATGCCTGCCCATCCTGTTACCCTTTTTAAAAAAAAAATTATTTAGTCTATTTATTTTGGCTGGCTTTTGTTCTTTGTTGTGGTACACGAGTTTCTCATTGTGGTGGAGCACGGGCTTCAGTAGTTGTGGCTCGCGGGGTTGGTTGCCCCGCGGCATGCGGGATTTTCCCGGACCAAGGCTCGAAGTACTGTCCCCTGCATTGGCAAGCAGATTCTTAACCACTGTGCCACCAGGGAAGCCCCCTGTTACCCTTTTAAAAGGCGGATCCCGCAGTGTCCTTTCCTCCCTCCCAGCCGCCTCCACCCCCAGTCGGCTGGGCGGAGCTTCACGCTAAAGCCCCGGAGCCCGACGCGGCCAAGGCAGTAGCAGAGAGGACTGAAGCCCCGAAGAGCTGCATCTGCGGCAACATCTCCAGTGACGTTACGTGTCTGTCGGCTTCGACCCAGCCCGCCGTGCGTGCCAGTCTCTCCCCGCCCCCTCCCCACCTGGCGCGCACCTGGCCAAGGCCGGGATCCCGCCGAGAACCGGGAAGGCGCGTGCCAGGGGCCCTAGGGAACCGCAGAGTGCGCGCGCCATGGGGCCGCCGCCCGGGGCCGGGGTCTCCTGCCGCGGTGGCTGCGGCTTTTCCCGATTGCTGGCCTGGTGCTTCCTGCTGGCTCTGAGTCCGCAAGCCCCCGGTTCCCGGGGAGCCGAAGCAGTGTGGACCGCGTACCTCAACGTGTCCTGGCGGGTTCCGCACACCGGAGTGAACCGCACCGTGTGGGAGCTGAGCGAGGAGGGCGTGTACGGCCAGGATTCGCCGCTCGAGCCAGTGGCTGGGGTCCTGGTACCGCCCGATGGACCAGGGGCGCTGAACGCCTGTAACCCGCACACGAATTTCACGGTGCCCACGGTCCCGGGGGACTGGGGCAGCAGCGTGCAAGTCTCTTGGTTGGCCCTCATCCAGCGCGGCGGGGGTTGCACCTTCGCAGACAAGATCCATCTGGCTTACGAGAGAGGGGCGTCTGGAGCCGTCATCTTTAACTTCCCGGGGACCCGCAATGAGGTCATCCCCATGTCTCACCCGGGTGAGTGCCGCTACCGAATTGCGCGCCATCAAACCCCTGCCAAGGCCATTTTCCCTTATTTTCCTCAGTGTAATCTTCCCCCTGTCCCCTTGCTCCGAAGGAAAACGAGTGTCCTTTCTGTCCCCATCGAGTGAGGGCAGGGTCCTCTCTTCCCCGAGATTCACCCTGCATCGGGGGTTTGGGCAGAAAAATCCTTTAGAATTTGCCTCTCTGGTAAAAAAGGGTGAAAACAGTGAGGAGGCTGGCAACTCGAGAAGGACTGTTTGGGCTCTTTGCGTCGTCTTTTCCTGCTGTTTCACGAGGGTGGTTTGCATTGGATTAATTGGTTGGTGGTGGGCATTGGCTTTGAAATGACTGGGAAGAAGCCTACCCGAGAAGCCTGCCTGGAAATCCCTTCCTCAGTCTTGTCCTGATTAACAGCCTCAGGCCCGCAGCAGATTTTTTCCCTCCTCTCTCACTGTTTTCTCTGCATGTTTCCTAGTATCAGGTACAAGATTGTGTTACTGTGCCCTGTTAACCTCATTCCAGTTTTGGTGGAAACTTTGCTCAGCTGTCGGGTTCTTCTCTGCCCAGGGGTCTTCAGGTCCCAAGTGATTTTTCGTATCAGTGCTTTCCTTTGCATTTGAAAAAATCTGATTTAGGATATTGAGTGGCAAAACAGGTGATTAGTGTTATTAAAGAAGAAGAGGTTTCTGCATGAGGCTAGCAAAGGCCTAGGATTTGGAAAATGTAATCCAGGTAGGTCTTAAATTTGTGCAGATGAGGTGGATTACTGTTTTCCCCTCTTTAGTTATCCTTCCAGAAACCTTCTCCCTATTTGTGATTAGGTATCCATACCATATGTACATAGTGATCCTAGGCCCCAAAAGACAAAGAAAAAAAAATTTGGGGAGAAAAAGGCAGAGACACGTAATAGTAGTAGCAGTATATCATAGTTGTTGAGAGCTGGGCCTCAAGTCAGACCTTGGTTAAATTCCGGCTCCATTGCTTACTAGTCCTGTGACCTTGAGCAACTTATTTGAAGTCTAGCCTGGATTCCCTCCTCAATCAAATGGGAAAGAACTAAGAATGAACCACTCCCACAGGTTTGCCTTGAGGATGAAATGAAATAATGACGGGAAAGAG